AAAAAAAAAAAAAAGAAAAGAAAAGATAATCCCAGTGCCAGGAGTACGGACTCATCTATAATCATATCATTCAAGAGGCAGAGATGGGAAGAATGCAGTTTGAATATAGCCTGGGTAAAGACTTTGTAAGTCCATCTCAATCAACATAAGTGGTAGTACATGCCTGTCATCCTAGCTGTTTAGGAAGCACAAACAGAAATATTGTTGTTCAGGCCAGCCTGGGAGTAAATATCAGAACTTATCCCAAATGAATTCAAGTAAAAGTTCTGGGTACATGGCTCAAGTGATAGAGCACTTGCCTACCATGAGAACATTAGTTCATACCCCCTCAGTACCACCAGAAAAGTGAAGATAAAAAATACTTATCCATACATAAAATATTCTATGGCTAGTCTGTAAACAAATAGTAAACCAGTGTATATGATACCAAACTTTGTATATGACACAGGATGAAAGATTAACAGGCTAAAGATTATGTACACATGATAAAATAATATTTGCTATCTTTCTTCATTGCTGTTTTGCCCTCAAGTTGATACTGTCAGTTTATATTGAAAGTATTACATTTTTTACTACTAGACAGTAACTTTTTCCTAAGCTGATTTAAAAGAGCATTTAAAGCATTGTATAGATTTGGTGGATAACCTTGTCAAAATCTTAATGGGAAAAATGTTGTTCATTGTCCTACATTATTTGTAAGCATTAGATTATGAGATCTTTATATTTTGAGGACTTCTCATTCTGTTGTTCAACACATCATCCCAGTGATGTTACCCTTTAAAATACATGAAATCTGCTTCTTTTTTTTTTTTAATTTTGCCAGTCCTGTGGCTTGAACACAGGACCTAGGCACTGTCCCTGAGCTGCTTTTGCTCAAGATTAGCACTCTCCCACTTGAGCTACAATGCCACTCCAGCCTTTTCTGTTTATGTGGTACTGAGGAAACACTCTACCACTTAACCACATTCCCAATCCAAAGTCTACTTTTTTTGTGTGTGCCAGTCCTGGGGCTTGAAGTCAATGCTTTTTTAACTCAGGGATAGTGCCCAGGCCTTGAGTTCAAACCCCCTGACCAACAATGCCTCCCCTTTTCTCCTCCCCACCCCCAAAAGAAAAGTTTGGATTTAACTGATTTGCAAGTTTCCCTTTTCTTGTTGTTTGGAATTACTGTGGGTTGATCTCAGATCTTTACCCTTTTAGAAAGCCACTCCACTGCTTGAGCCACATCTCCAGCTCTTTCTTGAACTTTTTTCCTTTGTCAGTACTGGAACTTGAACTCAGGGCATCATGTTCTAGGTTGACATTCTTGCTCATGTCTGCCACTTAAGCAATCCCTCCAGTCCAACATTTTGCTGTTTAATCGAAGATGGAGTCTTACAGACTCTGTTCTAACTGGCTTCTGTGATCCTGTAAGTCTTAGCTCCTTAAGATAATAGGATGAACTGTTGATGCCAGGTTTTGCTCTGGTTATTTTTGAGATAAGATCTGACCTTTTGTATCCACCTACCTAAATTGCAATCCTTGTGCTTATTTATGTTACTTGCTATATCTGAAATAACAGGTGTGCTACCCCAATCAGCTTTTTCTGTTGATGTGAGGTCTTTTGTGAACTCTTGGATTTACCTGGACACAATCCTCCTAATCTCGTTGTAGCTGGAATAACAGATACACACCAAATTATCTTGCTGTTAGTGGAGATGGACATAGCATTAACTTTTTGCTTGTGTTGGCCTCACCCCATGATCTTCTAATCTCTGCTTCTTGAGTAACTATGTTGAGTAACTATGTTGAGAGATGTGAGCCACTGGTGCCCATAATGTGATCTAAACTAAGGGCCTTGCTTGACAAGAATTCTTGACAGTTGAGCTGCAGCTCCAGCCCTAAGTAAATACTTTCTGAAACTACATTGTTAAATTTCATCTGAGGGTTGGGATTGTGGCATGGTGGTAGAATGCTTTCCAAGCATGCATGAGGCCCTGGGTTCAATTCCACGGTACCATGTAAATAAATTTTTTTAGGAAGTGGCCCTGTAGCTCAATTGGTAGAGTGCTCACCTTGAGCTGAAGAGCTGAGGGACAGCGGCCAAGCCCAGAGTTCAGCTTGGGGTTGGGAAGGTGGCTCAGTGGTAGAGTGCTTGCCTCGCATGCATGAAGCCCTGGGTTCGATTCTTCAGCACCACATAAGCAGTAAAAGCCAGAAGTGATGCTGTGGTTCAAGTGGTAGAGCCATGAGCTGAAGAGCTGAGGGACAGCACCCAAGCCCAGAGTTCAAAAAAAAAGCTTTGTTATAAGAAAAATACTGAATTACACGGAGTCTTTAGAGTTAGAATTGAAATTAATGGCACGTATCATTTTGTCCTTAATTTTGTTTGGTCTTACATGCAGCACTTTTTTCTTTCTTTTTTTTTGGTAGGTAGTGGGGCTTGAACTCTGATCCTGAGCGCTGTCCCTCAGCTCTTCAGCTCAAGGCGAGCACTCTACCACTTGAGCTACAGTGCCACTTCCACATGCAGCACTTTTTTATTTCTATTTTTTTATTTTTTTGGGGGTCCGGTCGTGGGGCTTGAACTCTGGGCCTGGGCACTGTCCCTCAGCTCTTCAGCTCAAGGCTAGCACTCTACCACTTGAGCCACAGCGCCACTTCCAGCTTTTTTCTTTTTGCTTATGTGGTGCTGAGGAATCGAACCCAGGGCCTCATGCATGCAAGGCAAGCGCTCTACCACTGAGCCACCTTCCCAGCCCCGCACTTTTCATTTTTAAACATTTACTTTTCAGTTACCATTTATTTTAAATAATGTTTTCCATAGCATAGTTTAATGATGTATCAGAAGGAAAAACTATTTTTGTTTTTCAGTCATGGGGCTTGAATTCTGGGCTTGGGTGCTGCCCCTCAGCTCTTCAGCTCAAGGCTAGCTAGCTCTCTACCACTTGAGCCACAGTACCACTTCGGCTTTTTCTGTTTATATGGTGCTGAGGAATGGAACCCAGGGCCTCATGCATGTGAGGCAGGTACTCTACCACTGAGCCCACTGCCAAGCCTAGCAAAAATTTTAATTGCATACATTAGCAATAGATTGTTTCATTGTGATAATTCAGTGGACTTACACAGTGTGCTTCAAACAAATTCATCATGTTCCCTTAGCACTTCTCTCCCTCCTATTCAAATGGTAATTTATTTGTGTATGTGTGACATAACTTCAATCATCTTCACTTCCCAGTGCTTGCTCCTCTTTTCCCTCTTACTCCCCCCCACTCCACCAACTTGCCCCTTTTATATTCATACCCCTCATTAACAACAATATGGGTTTAAATTCCACAGACAAGTAAAAAATGCAGTACTGTATTTTTGAAGTTGTAATATCTGTCCAACACAGTAATCTGCTGTTCCATCCATTTTCCTTCAAATGATGTGTTATTCTTTGTCACACCATTGTGTTCTTTATTTGGTCATTGAGTACCATATGCTGGTTATCATACCTTGGCTATCACAAATAATACTTTGATAGCACTGGTTATATACCCGAGTGGTGTTTTAGTTTTATTAAGAACCCCTACATGGTTTTCAATAGTGGTTATACTACTTTACATTCTTAACAGCAGTGCCTGAGGGCTCCTTTCCCCCTACAGTTCTACTTCCATTTGTTGTTCCCTCCCCTCCTCTCCTCCTTCTGGGGATTGAACTCAGGGCCTGGGCATTGTCCCTGATTCTTTAGCTCAAGACTAGCTCTACCACTTGAGCTACATTGCCACTTCAGGCTTTTTGTGCTACTGAGGAATCAAACCCTGGACTTCATGCATGCTAGGCAAGCACTCTACCAATAAGCCACATACCCAGCCCATTTGTTGTTTTCTTGATAGCTACCATTCTCACTGGAATGAGATGGAAAGCTCCTTTATAGCTAATGGTACTGCACATTTCTACATATATTGATTGCTGTTATTTATAGTGCTACTTGAGAGAACCATTCAACTCATTTTCCTATTTATTACTGGAATTATTTGTTCTTGTGATTAACTTATAAGCTCTTTGTATATGTATAATACTAATTCTTTTTTAAAAATTCTTTATTGTGATTAAGTGATTACATAAATTTCCCAAATTTCACAGTGTTGTGGGATAGTGATGCTTAAAGTCATATACACATAGAATACGAATTCTTTATCCATTGAACAGACAAAAGTTTTCTCTCATTCTCTGGGTAGGTTTCTGATTCTAGTAGTGATTTCTTTTGTTGTGTGTAAATTTTAAATTTGATGCAATTCCATTTGTCTACTCAAAAGTCATTGCCTATGCTTTTGTTTCCAGTTGTTTTACCATAGTAATTTCAGAATTTTAGATCTTCTAGCCACTTGAAATAGATTGCAGTGTAAGACAAGGTGTAGGGATTTAGTTTCAGTCTTCTAAATGTGGCTATTCTAGAATTTCCTATCGCTGTACATTTTGATGCTATCTTCAGGCTCCCTTCTGTCTCCCAGGGAGCCAGGACAGGCTTGGAACTGTTGGCTGCTATTTTCTCTCTTCTTTTTCTCTGTGCTTATACCTTTTTTGTGATTCCCAGTGTTCATCCAGATTCTCTCTTCAGAACATAGTATTTCATGTATTATTTGGCTCTTTCAGAGTCAAAATCTCTCATCTTTCCCTTGCCTCTCTATTAGTATTTTTGAACTTGTGCCAAATAAAATTTTGTTTTGATATTTTAAAATGTGTAATTGAGTAGAAAATAATGTTTAGGTTTTTCTCTCATAGATCTATAAATGCAGTGCCACGTTGTGTCTGTATAACCCAGATCTATGTTGCCCAGATGCTAGTCTTGAATTCCTATGCTGAAACACTCATGGCTTAACTTCCCAAGTAGCTGAAACTACATGTGTAATATGCATGCCTGGTTTGCCTATATCTTGATTGAATTATTCTATTATTGAGCTATAGGAATTATTTATATATTGAGATATTTCTTGTGAGATATATGATTTAACCTCTTCTAGATGGTATCCTTTAATAAATAAGAGCTTTAAATTTTACTGAAGCCTAGTTGAATTCTCTTAATAGCTTTTGTGCCCTATATAAGAATCCATATCCAAGGCTGGGCACTGGTGCCTCATGCCTATAATCCCAACAATTTAGGAGGCTAAGAGCTGAGAACTGTGGGCAGCCAGTCTGTGCAAAAGAGTCCAAAGATTCTCTAACAAACAAAAAGATAACTGGATGAGTCAAAAGAGCTGAAGAAGAATGCAAGATCCTGAGTTCAGATTTTCTTTATTATGGCTTGTCTTTCTCAGTATGGTGTCCTCAAATTGCATCCATTTTCCTGAAAATTATTACTTCTTTTGTTGTTGTTGTTGATCGTGGGGCTAGAACTCTGAGCCTGGGCACTGTCCCTCAGTTCTTCAGCTCAAGGCGAGCACTCTATCTCTTGAGCCACAGCACCACTTCCAGTTTTCTAGTGGTTTACTGGAGATAAGAGTCTCACGGACTTTCCTGCTAAGTCTACTTTTAGTCTTTCGAGGAGTTTAATTTCCTTAGTGCTTGAGTACATTCCTACCAGCAGTGAATGAGGATTATGTGTGTACCCATGTCTTTGCCTGTGTTGCTTTTTGTGACGGATGCCATTCTGACTAGGGTGAGATGGAATCTTAATGTAATTTTGATTTGCATTTTATGTCTAAGGATTTCTTTATGTATCAGCCATTTGTGTATTTCTTAAAGCTTTGTGTTCAGTTCACGTGCATAGTGATTAATTGGATGAGAGACAGAGTGTGTATGTGTTTGTCCTAGGGCTTGAACTCAAGGCCTGGACACTATACCTGAACTTTTTTGCTCAAGGTTAATGCTTTACCACTTGAGCCACAGCTCCACTTCAGGCTTTTTGGTGGTTAATTGGACATGTTGCATGGATTTTCCTACTCAAGTTGGCTTCTAATAGGCATCTTCAGATTTCATTCTCATGAGAAGCTAGGATTATAGGAGTGATCCTATAACTTTCTGTTTTCCTATAGTAGATTTTAATTTTTATGCCTCAGTTTGAGCTCTTTGAACCAATTGGAGTTGATCAAGTGGGTACCCAGTTTTCCTAGCAACATATATTGACAAGGCTCTCTTTTTCCCCCTAGTGTTTGTTGGTCATTTGTCAGAAATTAGTTGGTAGGTGGATTTTGGTGGCTCAAACCTGTAATCCTAGCTACTCAGGAGTCTGAAATCTAAGGATCAAGATTCAAAGCCATCTCAGACAGGAAAGTGAGACTCTTAGCTCCAGTTTACCACCAGAAAACCAGAAGTGGAGATGTGGCTCTAAGTGGTAGAGTTCTAGCTTTGAGCAGAAAAGCTCAAGCCCCAGAACTGACAAAAACATTGGTTGGAACTACGTGAGTTCCAGTATGGCTATTTTCATGATACCAATTCTGCTAATCCATGAGCTTGGAAAGAGGTCTTTGCATTTTCTGCTGTTCTTTAGTTTCTTCAGTTTTCTAGTTTTCCTATAGCAGTCTTTTATGGAATTATATTTAGCATTTATCTTACATATTCACATAAAAGAATTTTCTTATACTTATTTCCTTAAGCAAAATCACCTCACTTTAGTATATTTAATATGTTTACCATTTAGGTGCCTATGGTTCATGCTTGAAGTTTTAATGACAAAGAATGAAAACAATAGCCATGCATTTATGAAGAAGATGGCAGAGAACATCAAGTTAACCAGAGATGCTCAATCTCCAGATGAATCCAAAACAAATGAAGTAAGATAATGTTAAGAAAATAGATACTAAGACATTAATATAGAAAAACATACTGACCACTATTTTTCCTGGGAATTATAAAATGTTTCTAAAAATAAACATAGCCTATTTTTGTTATATTTCATCACATGAATTTTGTTGTCTTAGTCTTTAGAAAAGGTATGGCTGGAGAAAATAGTGTAAAGGATTTAGCCGGGCAGGAAAGGCCATGAGTCTCATCTCCAATTAACTACCAGAAAACTGGAAGTGGGGCTGTGGCTCAAGCGGTAGAGCACTTGTTTTGAGCTGAAGAGCTCAGGGACAATACCAAAGCCCAAAGTTCAAGCCCCACAAACCGACAAAAAAAAAGTTTTTCCTACCATGCACAAGACCCTTAGTTTGATTCCTAGCACCACAGTGGAAACTTCACCAATGCAGGAGAATAAGACCTGACAAAATTAATGGTGCTGTCTTAGGTGTTCCATCTAGTAAGAGTACTAGTGGGTACCTTGTTGGGTTGATTGTTATTTCTCACGCATACTGGACGTTCGTGTTCAATTACTAAGATGAAGCAATGGTGAACAGAAATAGGAAATGTTTGAAGAGTAAGTGGTCCTGTATCTTCTTTATATATTTTGTGGAATTAGTCATCATGATTATTTCAATCATGTAAGTTTTAGATATAAAGTGATTTCCTTTTTTCTTTCTAGAAACTTTATACAGTATGTGATGTGGCTCTCTGTGTTATAAACAGTAAAAGTGCTTTGTGCAATGCAGATTCACCAAAAGAACCAGTCCTTCCAATGAAATTTTTTACACAACCTGAAAAGGTAATTTTTCAAAAGATATATAATTGTATTGTTATTATTAAGGTGTTGTACAGAGGAGTTACTATTTCACAGTTCGGGTAATGTGTACATTTCTCTCTTGGACAATGTCACCCCTTCCTTTACTTTCCCCCAGTTTTCCCCTCCCATCTGTGAAAGGTATTTTTTTCCTACTTATTTTTCTACCACATTGATGTGGTCTTACAAATATTAAGTGAACTCTTGAATTTAGGTTTACCCTGACTGGAATAATGCCCACATAGCATATTCATAGCAGCCAGGTGATGGATGCAACTCATGGTGAGAGCTTGCCCGACCCTGTGCCCTGCGTTCCAGCCCAGCTACCACAGTAACACCGGCAAGAACATAAATAGTTTCTAAGAGCGTGGATTCTTTTATTATCTGTAACTTAAAATGTTGGAGGATAAGTTTTTTCTTTTTCTCACCATACCACTTTCTTGGTGTTTTTGTTATTGCTATTCCTAATATGTTGTTTTTTATATGTTATAAACTCAATCACTAGAATACCAGTCACTAGAATACCAGGCTTATAAGATAGTGTGAGTCTATATTTCTTCATGAGTTAAGTGACTAAACTTGGTTATCCAGGCTTTGTAACATTTATTATTTTATTTTATTTTATTTTATTTGGGTCCAGTCATGGGGCCTGAACTCTGGGCCTGGGCGCTGTCCCTCAGCTCTTCAGCTCAAGGCTAGCGCTCTACCACTTGAGCCACAGCGCCACTTCCCGGCTTTTTTCTTTTTGCTTATGTGGTGCTAAGGAATCAAACCCAGGGCCTCTGGCTTGTAGGGCAAGGGCTCTACCACTGAGCCATCTTCCCAGCCCCTTATTTTTGTTTTAGTGTGTGTGTGTGTGTGTGTGTGCGCACTCGCGCACATGTGTGCATGTGCATACATGCATACTAGTACTGGAGCTTGAACTCAGGGCTTGTGCTCTTGCTTTTTTTTTTTTTTTTGGTCAGTTGTAGGGCTTGAACTCAGGGCCAGGGTGCTATCCCTATGCTCTTTTGCTCAAGGCTAGTGGCTAGTGCTCTACTACTTTGAGCCACAGCACCACTTCTGCTTTTTTCACGGTTAATTGGAGATAAGTGTCTCATGGCCTTTCCTGCCTGAGCAGGTTTTGAATGTCGATCCTTAGATCTTAACCTCCTGAATAGCTAGGATTACAGGTTTGAGCCACAAGTGCCTGGCTTCTTGCTTGTCTTTAGCTCAAGGCTGGCACTATTAATTGAGCCACACGTCCACGCCCATATTTCTAATCTTAGCCCTTTGGAGACTGTGACAACAAATCATGTTTGAGTACACCTAAGGTACACATACGTAGTGAGGCTCCTGTGTCAAAAAGAAAACAAAGCAAAGGATATCTCATTGTGTCTCACACATTGTAAGAGTGTGAACTCTTCATATGCACACTTAAATTGGTTTCTCCTATACCACTAGTATGAAATAAATTAATAAATGGAAAAAATTACAGCAGTACTAGATTTTGAAATCATTTCCTTGCACTTGTTAGTTAGGTGTTCTACCACTTGAGCTATGCCCTCAGCCATTTTCACTTCAGTTACTTTTCAGCTAGAATCTTACATTTTCGCCTGAGCTGAGTTGGACTACCATTCTCCTGCGTGCCTCTGGAAGTATCTAGGATTACACACCTAGCTTGTTGATGACATAATGGTGTCTTGCTAACTTTTTGCCTGCAACTGTAATCCTTCTTCTGTCTGCTCCTTCAAAATAACTGGGGTTGATGGGTGCTGGTGGTTCACGCCTGTAATCCTAACTATTCAGGAGATCTCAGTATCATAGTTCAAAGTCAGCCTGGACATGAACGGCAGTTAATTTCCAATTAACCACTAGAAAGACAGAAGTGGTGTTGTCGCTCAGTGATAGAGCACCATCCTTGAGCAAAAAAGAGCTCAGAGACAGCACCTATGCCCCAAGTTCAAGCCCCATGATTGACTCCCCCTTCCCCCCCCAAAAAAAAGCTAGTATTAGAAGTATAAGCCACTATTACACATTTTGGTGGTATATTTACCTTTATGATGGTCTATATATACTTCTTAGAAACAATTGCTCTTGTTTTGGAGATAACGACTCTGTAACTTAAGTGGCATGGAATTTACTCTGGAGTGAGAGGTATAGATGATTGCATACAGTTCAAAATATATATATGTGTGTAAAATATATTACATATTTTATATATGTGTGTGTATTTCCTCTTTTTTTTTTTTTGTCTTCGGTCATAGAGCTTGCACTGGGTGTGAGCACTGTCCCTGAGCTCTTCTGCTCAAGGCTAGCACCCTACCACTTCAAGCCACAGCACCACTTTCAGTTTTCTGGTGGTTAATTGGAGATAAGTGTCTCAAGGACTTTCTTGCCCAGGCTAGTTTTGAATCACTACCCTCAGATATCAGCCTCCTGAGTAACTAGGATTACAAGCATAAGCCATTGGCGCCCAACTAAAAATATTTTTAATTAAGATGACAAATCCTTTTTTAACAATAATTCTTTTGAAATTTGGTGTGAATTTCCTTAATAAATATTAAATGCCTATTAATGCATAGTGCCATTTTGGCAACTAACTCATTGAGTCCCAGACTAAAATTTATTTTTGTCTAAGATCAGGACTCAAACCCTGTATTGGCGCATTCGCTCATTGGCTGGCACTTGATCATCTGAGCCACCCCTGCAATCCTGAGAGTAAAATTTATAATATAGTCAAGGTGAAAATGACTTAATGAACATATTGGTGTTGTGTCTTTTTGCATTAAAACATATCGAAAACAGTATACTTTATTTAAAATTCCACTCAGTGGTAAGGCCCTTAGCCTAGTAAAGGTAAGGTCACGGGCTGAATCTCCAGTAACACGCATATGCAGTTGGAGAGACTTCCTACATTTGCATAGATATTTACTTGATATATATATATATATATATATTAGTACAAATATAACAGTTGCAAGGTTCAGTGGCTCAAAAGCCACATTTAGAGAATAAAAATATGTATTCCATTTTTGTTTCTAATAGGACTTCTGTAATGACAAGAGTTACATTTCAGAAGAGACAAGAGTACTTCTGTTAACTGGAAAGGTATTATATACTTGGCATTCTGGGGATTCTATGTACTTTTTTTTTTAAACAAACAGTTATTAATTCTGGATTTGAATATCATCTGTTTTAATGCCTTTATCTGATGTTAACTTCTACCCAATGGCCACCTTTTCATGTGTTCTCTTCAGAGTTTCTAGCTTGAAATTTATTTACAATTCACAAAACAGATTTTCTAAGAAAAAGAGTTAAAAGAAAAAGGTGGGTAAAATACAGAAGCTGTTTTTTTAATTGAATTAGTAATTTTTTTTCAAATATTGAATGTGATTGAAACCTAAAAGGTCAAAAAAGTAATATAATTTTTAAGTAGTATTATTATAAGTTAGTGGGTCTGTTTAAACACATTTTACTATGTATATCAGTATGTTTGAAGGGCCACTTTTTTAGGAAATAAGGGCTAATAGTGCTCCCTTGTTATTGTTAAGTAGAGGAAATGTTAATGATTTTAACCTTATTTGGGCAGCCAAATACATTTCTACAGAATTGATAACAATCCTTTGACTTACGCCAACAAAGATCTCCTATTTTCATGTGGTTCTTTCACTAACATATAAAATACCGTGTGCGTGCGCGTGTGTGCTTTTGTGTGTGTGTGTGTGTGTGTGTGTGTGTGTGTGTGTGTGATTTTCAGCCAAAGCCAACTGGAGTACTTGGTACAGTAAATAAACCTTTATCTGCAACCGGAAGGAAGCCTTATGTTAGAAGTGCTGGGACTGAGACTGGAAGCAACATTAATGTAAACTCAGAAATGAATCCTTCACCCGGAAATCGTTCAAGGCAAGTTTTTTTCTTAAGTTGATTTTCTTTTCTTCCTCACTTGTTGACTTATTCCTCAAGCATATTACAAAATGGAGTCATGGCTTAAGAAGTGGTACAAAAGTCATGCTGTTGAGTTTTAGTGTTTTTATTATGAGAGTCAGTATCGTACTATACAGTTTGAAATGGAAAGGTTTCCTGTGTGTAAAAAGTAACCAGAAAAAATAGGAATTTGTAATGTAACTAATATTGACAAATATTTATACTGTTTATATAACAAAATTCAACATATAGAAATACCATGGAAAATAAAACTTTTTTTTCTTTTTTTTTTTTTGGTGCCTGTTGGGGTTTGGTGCCTGGCTTGGGGCCCAGATACTGTTCCTGAGCTTTTTGCTTGAGGCTAGTGCTCTACCTCTGGGGGCACACCTCCACTTGCAGCTTTTTTTGCTGGTTAATTGGACATGAGAGTGTCATGGACTTTTCTCTGGCTGGCTTTGAACCATGATCCTCAGATCTCAGCCTCCTGAGTAGCTAGGATTACAGGCGTGAGGCCTTGGTGCTAAGATTATAACTTTTAAATAATTTGAAACCCAAGTTTTTAACTCAAATTATGAGGTAATTTTTTTGGTCAGTGTTGAGGATCAAACATCTGTCATCATGCGTGGTAGGAAAGTACCAGTGAGTGAGGTCCCAAGTCTTCCGTGATTATTTAGCATGTTGTGTTGACTATATTAACAGATAAATAGTTTCCACTGAGTTTACTATTAAAAATCAAAACGGAAGGTTTTGTGTGTGTGTGTTTTATGATACAGTCTCACCCTGATGCTGGGGACCTGGTACACTTGTCCCCCCTGCTGACTGCAGTAGGCCTGCCCTGAAATACCCTCTTGTTCCAGTTTTGGCAGTCCTGGGGCTCGAACTCAGGGCCTCAGCACTGTCACTGAGCTTTTCTGCTGCATGCTAGCTCTCTACCACTTTCAGCAACAGTGCCACTTCCAGTGGATGAGTCTCATGGACTTTCTTTCCTGGGCTGGCTTTGAACCTCAATCCTCAGACTTCAGTGTCCTGAGCAGCTAAGATTACAAGTGTGAACCAGCAAGGCCCAGCACCACCTTTTTTTTTTTTTTTTTAATGAACCATTTTAAATAGTGCAGTTTTGGAGATATCATTCTTTTCCTTTTTCTTTGTGGCTTGGTTATGGGGCTTGAACTCAAGGCCTGTGCACTGTCCTTGAACCAAGCTCTTCGTGCTCAAGGCTTAGCGCTCTACCACTTGAACCACAATGCCACTTTTGGTTTTTGAGTGGTTAATTGGAGATGAATTTCACAGGGACTTTTCTGCCCCAGCTGGCTTTGAACCAGGATACTCAGATCTCAGCCTCCTGAGTAGCTAGGATTATATAGGCATGAGCCACTGATGCTTAACCATCCAATTTTAAGCATAAACTAAGTAATGTTTAAAAGGAATTTTTTCCCACAGAATTCTATAGTGCAAAGTAAATTAATATAGAACAGTTGTGATTTATTAAAGAGTGTTCACATAACTCCTGAGTGGCCTTTTCTGAGGTAACCCCTACTGTGAAGAACATTAAGAACACTGGAAATTACTATGCCATACTCTGATCTCCTATCCCCAAGCGATGAGGATTAGAATAGTTGTGTGTGTGTTTCTTGACAGTTCTTTTGTCAGGCAATTTTAAGCAATATCTTACATTATTGATGTTAAATGGAAGAGCTACTTAGCATGGTGTAATGAGCACAGATCTGAACCTTTGTCATTGTACCATTTGCATTGTTTCAACATTCCTTCTTGGCAGACTTTAAAGAGTAAACTTGATGTTGGTGTCATGAGATGAAGAAGCCTTGTTTTGTGTGTGTGTTTGTTATCAATTACCAGGGAGCAGAGTTCAGAGGCAGCAGAAACCGGAGTTAGTGAGAATGAGGAAAACCCTGTGAGAATTATTTCTGTCGCTCCTGTAAAGAATATTGACCCTGTTAAGAATAAGGTAAATATTCATTCATTTGCAGTGCTAATGTTCAAATCCATACCCTTGCACACCCAAATCTTAGGCAGAGGCTTTTAAATTTTAACAAGTGAATTTTTCCTTAGTAGATTTTTTCCCTATATATTTTATAGTTTATATTTTTACCCTGTATGGTGGTAAGAAAGTGACTGGCAGCAGTTAAATAAAATTTTATACATGTGTTTATGCTGTTTCTGCTCTTCTAAAATGATTATACCTTTGTGAACACATACACAGACCATAATGGTCTGCTTCTCCACACTGCCTGGCTCAACACCTTGAAACAGTACTCACGTGGCTGAGATCTTTTTTGTTTTTGTTTTGTTCTAGTTTTTTGTTTTTGGGGGTTGTTGTTTTTTTTTGGTCAGTTGTGGGGCTTGAACTCTGGGCCTGAGCAGGGGTTGAGATCTTTAAGCCAGCCAGGCAGACAATCCCAAAGACTCTTCTCTCCAGGTAACCAGCAGAAAGTCAGAAGATAACTTGTAGCTCAAGTGGAGAAACACCAACCTTGAGCAAAAAATGCTCAGAGTTCTGAGTTCAGCCCTAGAACATCCTCATACACCAGCATGTGCACATGCATGCATACAGAAACACACACATGCATACGTGTATACACACACCTGCAAACAACTAAGATTTAGGAGAGCCATATTGCCAGTGTTCTTTTTTTCTTTTTATTATTCTAAGGCTGATGTACAGAGAGGTTACAATTACATAAGTCAGGTTCATGAATACATTTCATTTTAAATTATGTCACACTTCCCTTCCTCTCTCCCAGTTTTAGTACGAAAACTGGTTTCCTCTTCATAGGACTTTTATGTGAGCTCCTTTTACATATGGATATATGCAAATAAGACACGGAGTATGGGTTTTCTTTGTAACTAAAGCTGGCCTTGAACTTGTAATTCTCCTTCCTCTGGATGCCAATGAATGAAATTAAAAGCTTGTGTCATGATGCCTGGCCATGTTATTTTTGGTTGTTTTTGTTTTTGGGTCCAGTCATGGGCCTGAACTCTGGGCCTGGGCACTGTCCCTCAGCTCTTCACCTCAAGGCTAGTGCTCTACCAGTTGAACCACAGTGCCACTTCCGGCTTTTTTTTTCTGCATTTGTGGTGCTGAGGAATCAAACCCAGGGCTTCATGCATGCAAGGCAAGTACTCTACCTCTGAGCCACCTTCCCAGCCCTGGCCATGTTATTTTTAATGGTTTTTCCTATATATGACCTTTCTCTGCCTAAACACATAAGAACTGGTGCATTTACTTTGATTTGCTTTATTTACTCAGTGAAATGCAGAGTCAAGGAATATATATATAGTACTGATTTTAGATTGTTTCATATTGATGTTCCTGAATCATTGTAACCTTTATAAATAGGTTATAAAAAGGAGTTCTTCACTACACACACAACAACCAGCACATTTTACAGTTCTTTGGAGTTTTTTCAGGCTCAAATATTGTAGCAGATATTCTAATTATTTTCATTTTCATTTGACTGTTGTGATTCTTTTTCAGATATTTTGTTCTCTTGTCAGTTTCACTTTTCACAAAACAAGATACTGTTTTAATATTGGTAAAGGAATTTTTATTTATTTTTTTGGTCAGTCGTGGGGCTTGAACTCTGGCCTGGGCACTGTCCCTCAGCTCTTCAGCTTACAGCAAGCGCTCTATCTTTTGAGTCACAGTGCCACTTCCAGTTTTCTGGTTGTTAATTGGAAATAAGTATTTCACAGTCTTTCCTGCCCGGGCTGGCTTTAAACTGCGATTCTCAGCTCTCAGCCTCCTGAATAGCTAGGATTACAGGCGTGAGCCACTGGCACCCAAGAATATTTTTAATTAAAGAAGCACTCAACCAGTTATAAATGGATGCTTTCTCCGAATTTTATTTTCATTCCTTGGATGCCTCCTTCTTTGACTTTTAGCTTTTGTACTTAAAAAACATTGGGCTTATTTACTTTAACATGTGTGCGTGCGTGTGTGTGTGTGTGAGAGAGAGAGAGAGCGTGTGTGTGTGTGTGTGTGTGAGCGCGTGTGCATGCGTGCATCCTCACTACTAGGGCTTGAACTCAGGGTCTGGGTGCTGAACTTTAGCTTTTTTTGCTCAGCTAGCACCCTCCCACTCGTGGTACAGCTCTACTTGAGGCTGCTGGATGGGGAATTGGAGATGGCCATCTGACCCTCTTTCCTGTCCCACCTGACTTTAAACTGCAGTCCACAGAGCTAAGAATCTTCAGTAGCTAGGATTACAGGCATTGTCTACCTGTGTTTGGCTGGCTTATTTGCGTGTGTTTTGATTTTGGTTTGGTTTTTTGCTTGTTCTGGGTTGGATTCAGGGCTTAGGCATTATCCCTGTGCTTCTTTTTGCCCCCAACTGGTGCTCTACCACTTTGATTGAACCACAGTCTACTTTCAGCTTGTTTTTGCTTGTTATTTAAAAATAGGAGTCTCTCTGCCTTTCCTGCCACACTGGTTTCACCATGATCCTGAGATCTCGGCTTCCTAAAGAGCTAGAAATACACGTATAAGCCACTGTGCAAGCTATATAAAGTCTGGCTTTGTTTTTACTTTAAAAAATGGTTAGGTTTGAGCTGAGAATGTGGCTTAGTGCTAGAGTGCTTGCCTCACATGCATGAAGCCCTGGGTTTGCTTCCTCAGTACCACATAAACAAAAATCCAGAAGTCACGTAGTGGTGATAGAGTGCTAGCCTTGAGCAGAAGCTCAGGGACAGCTCCCAGGCTCTGAGTTAAGGCCCCAGGACTGGCAAAAAAAAAAAAAAAAAAGCTATGCTTGAGAAGGCCTCTACTACCAGTGTTAGGGAGGCAGCAGAGGATCCTAAGCTCCAGGCCACGCCACGCCATGCCACAGCACACCGGCCCAGTCTGCGCCCAACACCTGCATACATACTAGCCAGAATGTTTAATGAACTATTCCTACTCCAGGTTTTTTTCTTTTTTCTTTTTTTTGTCAGTTGTGGGGCTTGAACTCAGCCTGCACTCTGTCCCTCTGCTCTTCAGCTTAAGGCTAGCATTATACCGCTTGAGCCACAGCACCACTTCTGGTTTTCTGGGGTTTACTGGAGATAAGAGTCTCATGGCTTTTCCTGTCCTGGCTGGCTTTGAACTACCATCCTCAGATCTCAGCCCCCTGAATAGCTAGGATTACAGGTGTGAGCCCCCAGCACCTGGCTACTCCAGGTTTTATACCACTTGAGTGCTGCTCTGTGACAGGGTTAGAATGCTTACCTTGGGCACTGAAAATAGGAAAAATGTTGGTTGTTTTGTTGTGAGTGTCTTGTCTTTAGAATTTCCTTTTCCAACAGGATATAAACCCAGGAATAGTAACTCTTTTTAAATAGTTTCAGAATTCTTTTTTTTTTTTAGCATATTATTGATGTTAAAATGTTTGTATTTATAGTTGTGTTTGTACTCTTTTAGGAAATCAATTCTGATCAAGCTACCCCAGGCAACATCAGTGGTGACCGAGGAAAGAAAAAAACAGTAACAGCAGCCGGCACAGAAAATGTCCAACAAAAATCAGATGAAAAAGTAGATGAATCGGGAGCTCCTGCCCCTTCCAAACCCAGGAGAGGACGCCGACCCAAGTCTGAATCTCAGGGCAATGTAACCAAAAACGATGATATAAGCAAACCCATTAGCAAGGGAAGGAAAAGAATTATTATCACTCACGACAGTCCTGGGGAAGCAGGAAATGCCAAAGTGCCCAAGCTGCAAGATGTGGCCAAAAAGGCAACACCAACAGAGAGACAAATTGACCTACAGAGGTAATGCACACTAGTCTTCCTGAACTTAGAATTTAGCATTGTCATTTCCCCCCAAAATACCGTTAGAGTAAAAACAGCATTTAGTTATCATTCATAATCTACACTTCTAAGAGGCACTGATTTGGACTTCTTTAGATAATTTTTATTATGATACAGTTTTTTAATTATATGATATTTTTTATATTTCTGTTAGCAAGGAGAATGTTAGCTGTCTTAAAAGGTTACGTGGGGGTGTTTATAATATAAATGCTTCATTTTGGATACAAACTGATAGAAAAGATAGTAATGAAATATGTGGAGGTAAATGGCTCTCTAAGTTAATTCTCATTCACTTGTTATAAAACAACCTCATGGTACTCATCTTTGACCAGTGCTAAGAATTGAATGGATCTGGGTCTGGTGGCTTTGTTCTTATTCTCTTAACAAATACTTAGTGATTGAAGTGTTGCACATCATGTGAGTTCAGAAGCTTATCCATGGGCTGGGAAGGTGGCTCAGTGATAGAGTGCTTGCCTTGCATGCATGAGGCCCTGGGTTCGATTCCTCAGTACCACATAAGCAAAAGGAAAAAAACCGGAAGTGGTGCTGTGGCTCAAGTGGTAGAGCGCTAGCCTTGAGCTGAAGAGCTGAGGGACAGCACCCAGGCCCAGAGTTCAGGCCCCACAACTGGACCCCCCAAAAAAGAAGAAGAAGCTTATCCACTCTATTAGAAAATAGAAAACAGGCAGGCACTGGATCCTCATGCTTGTAATCCTATACTATACTCAGAAGGCTGAGATCTAAGGATTATGGTTCAAAGCCAGCCCAAGCAGGGAAGTCTGTGAGACTCGAGTCTCTAATTAAACACCAGAAAACTTGAATTGGGGCTGTGGTACAAAATGGTAGAGCTCTGGCCTAGAGCAAAAGAGCTCAGGGATAGCACCCAGACCCTGAGTTCAAGCCCCACAACTGACCAGAAAAAGAAAACAGAAAACATTTATTTGAACAGATTGATATACTAAACATACAAAAATTGGCTTCATAGGATGACTTACACCTATAATCCCAGCATTTGGGCTGCAGAGATAGGTTGATCATGACCTCAAGGCAAGCCTGGCTACAAAGTAAAATAAGCCAGAACCAAATGAGAGCTATTATATGGTTTAATATTTATGAGGTACCTAGAACAATTAAGTTCATAGACATAGAAAGGTTAGTGATGACCCTGAAGGAAAGAGTGAAAAAGGTTTTGAGACTTTTATCTCCAGTTAACCACTAAAAAACCAGAAGTAGACCTGTGGCTCAAGAGATAGAGTGCCATCCTTGGGGAAAAAAGCTAAGGTAAGCTGGTCCCAGTGGCTCATGCTTGTAAACCTAGCTACTCAGAGGAGACTGAGATCTGAGGATTGCAGTTCAAAGCCAGCCTGGGGGAGGGGCTAGGAAGGTAGCTCAGAGGTAGAGTGTTTGCCTTGCATGCATGAGGCCCGGGTTCTATTCCTCAGCACCACATAAGCAGAAAAAGCTGGAAGTATCGCTTTGGCTCAAGTGGTAGAGCGCTAACCTTGAGCAGAAGAGCTGAGGGACAGTGCTCTGGCCCAGAGTTCAGGCCCCATGACCGACCAAAAAAAAAAAAAAAAAGCCAGCCTGGGCAGGAAAGTCCATGAGACTCCTGTCTCCAATAAACCACTCAGAAAATTGGAAGTGGTGTTGTAGGCATGAGGTAAAGAGCTAAGGGATAGTGCCTAGGTCCTGATTTTAAACCCTAGTGTTTGTGTACACACACACACACACACAGAGTTAAAATGGCAAATGCGATGTTTCATATAGAAACAAATATATCACAGTTTTAGAACTTCATAAAAACAGAAGTTGAACATTCTTATCTGAAACGTGTGGGACCAGAAGCATGTCAAATTTTGAATTTTTTTTTGCATTTTGGAGTATTTGCATATACATAGCAAAGATACTTGGGGAGAAGAGACAAATGTAAACACAAAATTCATTTATACAGATGGTTATTTATGTACTCATTACCTTGCTCATGTAACTGTAACCCCTCTGTACAGTATTTTTACAATAAAAAAGTTAAAAAAAGAGACAGATGGTTATTTATGCAATATTTTATTGTAAATGCATTATAGATCAGGTATTGCCACCAGCACCCAGTTGAAAATCAAAAGTTTAATTCGCACACATGTATTACATATCACCTGAGACTAAAAAAGTTCCATGTTATTGTTAGTTTTTTTTAAATCGATGTGTGGTCTGCTGTTCCCTACCTTTAATTGGGGCGGGGGGAGGTGATAGTAGGCCAGTCCAGGGGCTTGAACTCTGGCCTAGACACTGTTCGTGAGGTTTTATGCTCAGGCTTGCTCTCTGTCATTTGAACTACAACCCCACTGCCAGCTTTTTGATCGTTAATTGGAGATAAGAGTCATGTGTATTCTCCTCCTGCCCAGGCTGACTTTGAGCCATGGTTTTCAGATCTCGGTCTCCTGAGTAGCTAGTATTGTGGGTGTAAGCTATTGGAGCCCCGCTCTTCCTCCATATTTTTAGTCAGCTTTATTAGTATGAAGACTATTCTGGTCAGGATTAAATTTGCCTATAATCACATATATGTAGGAATCAGAAACATGGGGACTACAATAGATGTCATCCCAGGCAAAAAGTTAGCAAGACTTTATCTAGAAAATAAGCCATACAAGTAGGCAGACTAGGCACGTTTATGCTGCAAAGCAGGGGTGGAAGAGTCATGCTCTTAAGGCCAGGCAGGCAAGACCCTATCTGGAAAATCACCTAAATCAAAACAAGTGGGAGGCTTGAGTTCAGACCTTGGTACCTCTAAGTTATTTATTCCATGAATAATACAGATGAAGTTTGGATACGCAATATATGCCTTATAATCCAAGTGCTTGAGAGGCTGAGGCAGATCAAGGATTTGAGGCTAGCTTCAGCTATTTTCTTGTCTAATAAAACAAAGGAAGGGACTACGGTTCTGCAGGTTTGGCTCCATGTTACAGTGCTTGCCTGGCATGTTCAGTGTTCTGGGCTCCATCCTCTGTGCCTATTAAAAAACAAAAATGTAGAGTTTCCAGTTTTATCTGGTGGAAGAGTGCTTGCCTAGCATTGCAAGGCCTTGAGTTTCTTAGTACTGCAAAAAAATAAATAAATAAAAGGAGAAACAGTATAAGTAAGATGGCCTAGTAACAACTTGCCCCAAATTAATGCCAACCTGGCCAATAGGCACCTCCCAGGACAGAAGAGAACAAATCTAGACAGTGTCAGTGGGGAGAAAGGAGTCCTTATCATTCTATCCAGAATCTCCTCCTACACCGTTAGATTATATTCTCTCTAACCTGTATACATCGAGGGTTTTGCCAAGAGCCTTTTGTTTTTTGGGTTTTTTTTTTTGCTCAAGCTGGCATTCTTCCAATTAATTCAGCCACACTTCCATTTCCATCTTTTTGCTGGTCAATTAAAGAGTCTTATCAGACTTTTGCTTGATCTGGCTTCAGACATCAGTCATTACATCTCAGCCTGAGGAGCTAGAATTATAGGTACAAGTCACTAACACCGGCTTTTTGCATTTTGTTTGTCTGGTTTTGTTTTTAGTATATAAAATATATTTTTCTACACAGCTTAAGAATCAGAGGTTATTTTTAATTAGATATTCATTAAGTTACTTGTATTTTATTTTTTTGGTCAGTCATAGGTCTTGAACTCTGGGCCTGGGCACTGTCCCTGAGCTCTTCGACTCAAGGCTAGCGGCCTCCCACTTGAGCCCCACAGTACCACTTCCAGTTTTCTGGTGGTTAATTGGAGATAAGAGTCTCATGGACTTTCCTGCCTGGGCTGGCTTTGAACTGTGCTCCTCAGATCTCAGCCTCTTGAGTAGCTAGGATCATAGGCACAAGCCACCAGCACCCAACTAGGGGGGGAAGAAAATTGAGCCAATATAGTAGGTTAGTTGAGCATTTGGTTTGGCTTGTACCCATTTTTTTGTTGTTGTTTTATTCCCAGTAATGAGACCTGAACTAAGGGCCTAGGTGCTGTCTCTAAGCTTTTTTGTGCTCAAGGCTAGCGCTTTATTACTTGAGCTACAGTACTACTTCCAACATTTTCTGAGTAGTTTATTAGAGATACGTATCTCGAGGACTTTCCTGCTAGGGCTGGCTTTGGACCACGATCCTCAGATCTCAGCCTCCTGAGTAGCTAGGATTATAGGCGTGAGTCACCAGCATCCAGCTAAACCAACGCTATCATTTTTATCTTTTCTAACTTTTGTGTTCTTCTGTTCTCAAGGTAAAAAGAAAAATCACTTGCAAAGGGAGAGAATGAAGGCCAAACAGAAGCGGATTCCAGCTTCTGCAAAAACATGGATTCAGAAACGTCTCTGAGCAGAAAACGGAGTTCACTTCAAAACACTTTCTGCCTTGAAAACTGAAACTATGACTTCCTTTTTACATGACCAGAGTCCTTTGATGGAAATGTACAGCAGAAACTTGAAAGAGAAGCTAAAGCAACTCTGTTTCCCCTTTCCCCAGACTTTTCCTATGAAAAGTCAATAATTAAGCAAATTGCTTAACACTTGGTTCCAGTTCCTACATATCTGGAGTTTAAATGCATAATACACCATTAATTTCCATGCTGCGTTTTCTATTTTAAAGTATAACAACAAGATGTCTTTACACTGACACTGAATATTCATTCTAGAGCCAGGATTTCCCATGTTACCCAAGAAAAAAATTGAAGTCTACTGAATTAATTTTTTTAGAAGAAAAAAGATTACGTATTTCTTTTGTTTTCCTTTTTGGAAAATTTTATGTATGATTCTTTCTGCCTGTCTACTTTTCTGCAAAAATGAGATGTACAGATTTCAGTTCCCTGATATGAAAAGTGATGTTGTGGCAATTTTATAATGTTGCTTTCTGATTTTTATCAGAGTGAGAAATTAAAATTATTGATTTGCAAGTAGCAAACAGTTCATATTTTGATTTCCCCTCCATTTTAGTTTAATATAATTTGCAATAAATGTACATATTGTTTCATAAAGCCTATCACTTTAAGTGGTTTTTTACTCCTCTTAAGTTGGAATATTTGGAAGTTTAAAGGAGTAAAGACTGCTCAACATTTGGTTTATAATATTTGTCACCAGATTTTTATTATTGATGTAAAAAAAGATTTTTTTTCTTTCCAAATAGTTGGCTGTTGGCAGCTTTGTAAGGAAGTTGGAGGTTTTGCTGTCATGTCAGCCTTCAGCATGTGTTGTTGGGAAGTAAGTGTCCGTTTCTGTTTCTGGTCTGGGCTCAGTTTTACCTACCTTATACACAACTATTGAATCCACAGTTTTACCTACCTTATACACAGCTATTGAATCCACATAATATGTTTCTTGCCATTGGTAACGTGTGCACTTTCTGTGTACACCTAATCATATTTAAGGGTTTTTTGGCATAAAATAAATGCTTCTAGATGTAATATGGCAGTCTTTAATCTTTTTATCATATTACGCTTTCTTGTCAGTTTTTAATATGAAAGGGCTGAAATCACAGAGAACATGATTACAACCAACTCTGCATTATCCATATATGAAATACTGACTATACTTGAGAGACTTTCTGTTGTTTTGGGGTTAGTCATGGGCTTGAACTCAGACCCTGGGCACTTGTCCCTGGGTCTTTTTTACTCAAGGCTAGTGCTCTACCACTTTGAGCCCCAGCACGGTTTTCTGGTGGCTAACTGGAGATAAGAGTCTAATGGACTTTCATGTCCAGGCTGGCTTTGAGTCATTTTCCTCAGATCTTAGCCTCCTGAATAGCCAGAATTGCAGACAGGCGTGAGGTACCAGGGCCTGGCCAAGATTGTTAATTTTTTTTTTAATGACCATTAATTTACAAAATAGTCATGGCTCCTGCAGAGTTGATACAAGGGGAGCTTGAAATTCATCCTTTCTCACGTTCATTGTTATATCTGACTCCCACTGTCCTCTAGTCCACACCCTGTTTCCTTACTTCATGTGGGGCCAAGGAAATAAAGATGCGAGTTTTCAGTGTCACTCACATTCGCATGGATAATTGAGAGTTGAGTGTGAACTGACTGAAAGATGAGTAATTCTTTTTAAGTATACATATATATCCATATTCATTAGAAATAAGGCTTTTAGGGGATAATCAATACCAATGATAGAAAACAGTATCTTTTAAAAGGGCAAAATAAAGCCTCCTTACTGTCTTTTTATAACCCTTTAAAAATAGAAGATACTGTCTCCAATATTGATGAAAATCATAATCTATGCATATATATAAAGTCCTTGCAGCATCAGTCCACAGCTTGATTCTTAGGACCTCTAGTTTGTCACCAACAAAAAAATGTATGACAGTCAATGACCTACTGTACTATGATGGCGGACAAGTAGTTGAGAGAAAAAAGGCTTCCAAGGGATCAGCCGCACCAGACAAAATGTAACAACCATTTGCATCAGCCTGTGGTTTTTTTAGATTTTTGGCGGGAATTAAAAGGATGTTTTTCCTTGCAGGAACTTATATAAATGGCCCATTTCTGCTTTGTAAAATGACCCAAGTGTCTTGTCCTTATGGTCAAGGAGAGTAAAGTGAATGAAGTAAATACACAGGGATTGCAGGGAGCTTGTCCATTTGCCTTTGAAAAGGAAAGTGTAAAATCTCTTAGGAATCTGGTATTCACATCTCAGAGAAAACAACACAAAAGTGCAGACTTATATTTGAGAATAATGTTAACCCTTTGTGTCTAGTTTAAAGCTTCTTGTATTTGTCTAAAACTACAAGCCAGAATTTTGTATCTCCTTTGATAAAAAGTGTGTATAATGTAAAGTAGTTTTGCATATTCTTGTGCTGCACATGGGCTGAATTTTTAGAATTTTTTAAAGACTTGAAGCAGAACCTTGTAATTTGTGTAAATGACAAGTGTAAAATTCTACCATAAGATGCTAAAAATTATGCACTGTTTCGAATAAAACCAAGAAATGCAGCATTGTATAGAAGTGTGGAGCCCTGAATACTCACATCCTCTGCTGATGCATTCAAAGCCGGTGACATTTCTGTGTATATTGTCTGTTTCATTTCTCGAATCACATATCCTAAGAAGAAATCAAATGCCAACTCTTTAAACTTCTATCCACATACTCTGATCTGGCTTATAGTAACAATGAAAATAATGGATGCTCAGTTCTGATGTATATTTGGGAAACTTTGACTTATTCCTTAACCTGTGAATGTAAAATCGGTCATACATTCATACTTTATTACAGACAATGGACATGCGTGTATTAGTTTGATAATAGTTCACAACAATGAGATTACATGGGGCTGGAAAGGTGACTCGGTGGTAGAGTGCTTGCCTTGCATGCGTGAGGCCCTGGGTTTGATTCCTCAGCACCACATAAGCAGAAAAAGCTGGAAGTGGCACTGTGGCTCAAGTGGTAGAGTGCTAGCCTTGAGCTGAAGAGCTGAGGGGCAGCGCCCAGGCCCAGAGTTCAGGCCCCAGGACCAGCAAAAAAAATTTAAAAAATAAGAGCTCACTTAAATGTATCTAGAATTCTAGGTAACCAAAATGAGAAATGCACCCATGCTCAGTTGGATATTTTACTGTAAGTAGGGTTATCTTTCCAGAACTGCAGGCTAAGCTGAGAGTATGGGGGGATGGGTGCCTTTACTGATACAAAGTTTTTCTTTCTGGCTTTTTTTTTTGTTGGTCATGGGGCTTGAACTCTGGGACTGGACACTATCCCTGAGCTATTCTTCAGCTCAAGGCCAGCGCTCTACCACTTGAGCCACAGCACCACTTCTGGCTTTTTTCTGCTTATGTGGTGCAGAGGAATTGAACCCAGGGCCTCATGCATGCAAGACAAGTGCTCTACCACTGAGCCACCTTCCCAGCTCCTCTGGTCATTATTTTGTATTACTAAAATTGATGTAATTTGATTAATAAGACTAGAAACTACATAGGTCAGGTAAAACTATTATGCCATTTCAGTTTTAGTTTTTTTCAGTGCTAGGGCTTCATAAATTTTGTTTCCTCTGAGAATGTCTATTTTATCAATATCTTTGACAGTTTTTCGCACTGGACTCAAAATTCTGGATTGAATGTTGTTTTTCTGCATTTGAAAATTCCATGCCACTTCCTTGGGCTTGAATGTTATTGGGATTTGTCTTTGTGGTGCTGGTACTCACTTGCCTTTTTTGCTCAAATTTAGCACTTCATCTTTTTGCTGGTTAATTAAAGATAAGATTCTCACAAACTTTACTGCCTGGACTGGCTTCAAACTTCAGTCCTCAGATACCAGCTAGTATTACAGTGCCTGTAACTGGATGCATTGCAGTTTCTCAATGTTGGAATACGGAATGGAGGAGGGAGTATCATTTGGATGAATAACATGACAATAGGATTTTTTTAAATTTATTTTTTGGCTGGTTGTGGGGCCTGAACTCTGGGCCTGGGTGCTGCCCCTCAGCTCTTCAGCTAAAGTGCTCTACCACTTGAGCCACAGCGCCACTTCCGGCTTTTTCTGCT